TATATATATATATATAATTTTGTACTCTTTTTAGTTGTGAAAAAATTAAATAATCTTGTTTCTTTTTTGTCATGATTCAAGTGCATCAAGTCTCGTACAATATGTCTGCGTGTCCGGAGAAGAAGCGGCAACAAAATGGGTGAGTCGATTCTTTTATATTTTCCAACTACTCGCAAGATCAGTATTATTCAAGTTTATTAAAAGTTCAAAAAACAGGAATAAGTGAAGCGTCGAGGAAATTATCAAAGATGATAATTTTAACGATTTTATCTATCGCGGGGATTTTAGATTTTTACAAGTGAGTAACACACAAATATATAATAAAAGTGTTTCGAAAAAAAAAACGAAAGAGAGAAAATAAGAAAGAGAATTCTAGAATTATAAGCGGAAGCGGCTATTTTTCACGTGCACTTTTTGTCTACTTGTTCTCGTTATTTCAAACTCTGGCAGCATGTTTTTCTTTGAACAGGTGTTTTTAAAGCAAATGAGACATTCCATCGCCAAACGGATGATATTGTTACTTTATCGTAACCGTTCTTGAGCACCGTTCTTGAGCAAACGTGCAAACTAATTTGAATATATGCTCGATTTCGCGTTGTCACGTACAATGTTGTTGTTCGTCAAGCCAATGCATAGCACTTAAATACCGTGGAACGCGCGTCACGTGGGATGACAGAGTTGAATTGGGGGAGGAAAGAATAAGAATTCGGTCACGGACAAGCGGAAATGTCAAGAACCGCAATTGATATCGACACATGCCGGCAATTCCAATTTTCCAACAGTAATACTCAGAGTTACAGCTGAGGGAGCATTCAAAAAAATCCTATCGTGTGCGAAAGCCACATTTCTTTCCGTCGAGAGCAAAGGATTCACGTGTCAGGAAAGTTTAACATCGAAGATTTATAGATACAGATATGTATGCACACGCGAGTGTGTTTTATAAAAGGATTATAATTATTTTTTTATTGTCTCTATGCGCGACTGATGTATGCGAGGGATAAAAACGTCGGCACGAACGATAATATAGCGATTCGTTTGTATGAATAGCGCCGATATATTGCGCGCGCTGATGGCAGCCTTATTGCGATCGATTCCGCTTGTAAAATGAACACGAATAGTGAGTTACAGAGCCTTTAATTAGTTTACTCGTTCAAATCATATCGGTTTTGTAATATATTTATCGTTATTTATTGAATCCTAATTTCACATTCGCTTAAATCTGTAATGTAACGTGTAACGGTGTTAATCGAACGACTATTTGATTCCCACATCATGTTAACATTCGCGCAAAATTTAAGTGCATTTTTTTATGCAACTAGACGTACATTAAAATATACATTTGGCGGTCTGTGTGTGATAAAATAAATATAAAAAATAGGATTTAATAGAGGAAATTTAATACCTAGGGACACATTTTTGTCATTTGATTTATAAAATCTTTAATTATTTGTTTCATAGCTCGTATATCTCATGGATCATAAATTATTTTATATATTTCATTTCTCTAGAATTTCTGAATTTATTCATCTGTCGAGAGACAGCGTGATTTTGACGTGTTTTATAATGCATTGTAACTTTTCGCGCATTTCTTCCCTCGTTTTAAATTATCTTTTACATATCGCTGCATTTATATTATTTTTAGAATTTTCCATTTTCCTTATTTTATCACATTATAATAATCTGTGAGAAAAAGGAAAAATAAACTCACGTTGTGTTTGAAATTATCTTCAAAAATACATATCTCTCTAGATACAACAATTTCTTTTGTTTAAAATATAAAACAAAGATAAAATTCAAATAATTTGAAAATACAAATACGCATATTTAATAATATTCGAAATTATACAGAATTTTCACAAAGCATTTTTAAAAAATGACAAACGTCTTATTGTAAGAAAAATGTGTTTATATGTACAGAGAAGGGTAAAGGACATGATCAAAAACAAACTTTTCCAAACGTAGACCAAACGATTGCGCAGATTATATACAATATTACTTAGTTACTCGTATAGCTACGTATACAGTTATACAAACACAACGACCCAAGCGATGAAGCCGCTAATGTTAGGATTCTCGTTAGACAAGATAATTGACAATTGAAAAAGTACGACAGTTCCTTCTTATTGTTTCTAGTCTCGCGAGACGGCGCGGTAAAATTCGAACGGAGGATTCGTCGGTCGATTCCGGAAACGCTCGCGCTCGCTCGGCGTTCGCCAGGTAAACGCTTCAGGTGGCCGTACGGTATCGCGGCGGGGGGTGGAGGGGAAAGGACAGAAGCGGAGATAGGCAGGTAGGCAGGTTGGCAGGCTCATGCGGTTGCACATGGCGGACCAGGCGGAGGTATAACCTTCGGATGGTATCCGCTGTCACGCTCCGCGCCGCACGCCAGTAACGGAGGAGAGCCGTTCGTAAGCGGTTCCGCGCGTTCGACGTGTCTCCGTCGTCGTATTCCGACTCGAGCCTCTCCGTCTCGGCGAGAAACGCGCGCAAATCTCTCGCCTCGTCGTGGACCAGGTGCACCAGGTGCAAATTAATCGCGACCGCGTCGCGATTTCGCGCTGACCGTTCGCCAACCGGTGAGCCGCGGATGACGGACGCGATATCGCGGCAACGGCGTCTCCGCGACGGGTCGAAGGTGAACGCTCGATCGCCGCGCGCGTCAACCACGGGGTGTAAATTTGTGAAAAATTGGTGTTTCTGTGCACGATTGTTGTGTTGTTGAAACGCGTCCAGCCGCTACCAGGCCTCAACGAGGAGAAGCAGAGAGAGAGAGAGCGGGAGCGAAAGAGAGAGAGAGAAGGAGGTTCATCTCTGTTTTCTTTTTTTTTCCTTTCTCTCTCTCTCTTTCGTCATCATCTCGACAATCCGCCGTGCCGATCCGTTGAAGGTAACTACTCATTTCCTCTTCGCGTTGCGCGCTCTTTTCGCTCCTTTCTCGGCTTCTTTAAGCGGCTCGATCGCCCGTCTCTCGGAGGTATCTACCTCCTCGCGGTCGACTTTCAGGATAGCGCGCATTTTCTGGTGCTCGTCGGTGTGTCGGTACCAGAACGTGCCAATGTTTCTTACTCCGTCCTCGGTCGCTGTCTTTCTTCCTCTCTCTCTTTCTTTCTCTCTCTCTCCCTGCCTCTTCTCGTCTCGTCCGTCTCTCTTTCCACGTCTCTTGTGACATGTCGACTTCGCAATACCACGCGCGCCACTTATTTCCGATACATACCTCGCCATTCCGCGGTTTTCAGCTCGCGTCTGCATTGTTTATGTCCTATACCGTGTTTCGTAGTTTAATTTTTATTACATATCCCTTCTCGTTTTGTCGCACGATAATTGCATATAATTTCTCGCCAATGCTTTAGCGGATATGTTTGCATTTAATTATACGCGCAATCTTTTTCTATTATTATATCGCCGATTTGTGTACGCGCGACATCTTGTAATATTGCCATATTATTTTACGATTTGATGAAGTAGATATTTATATTTTATCCATTTATTTTGTGCCCCAAAATATCATTTTCCTATGGAGGCGTTTCGTCAAATTTCATAATAATTTTCATATTTCTCGTTTTTTTTAAACTCTTTACTAATAATTAAAAATCTGTATTAATACATGATTTTTTTTTTTATATAAATTTGTATATAGAAAACCAGACACTCTATTAACATTCTCTGTTACATGTAAAATTTCTATTTTTATTCATCCGTATAACTATGTGTACAAAATAGATATTTTTTAACGAGTTTTACAAAATGATATAATACACGAGAATAATGTTTTTGAGGATAATAGCATATTAAATTTTATATTACGTTCTGAATTCTGAGTTGAATTGCATTCCTTGCATTGAAATATGAATATTTAATTCCATTTTAGATTCTTTAGAAGAGAAGATCAAAAATCTTGTGACATTATTATTATTATTATCGAAATTTTTAGAAACGAATTCATACATTATTTTATTAAATGAAAATATTCACGACACCAAAAATAATTAAGTGGATAGAACTCTTGCTCGAAAATATGATTTAATATGATTTAATTCTCGAAAATACGATTATTAAGTATATTGATATTAACAGAATTTTTTGTTAAATTTTATTCGTTAACAGAAAGCATTCGTCGAGGAGACATTTTTGCGTCATCTATTTATTATCATATAGATAAATATTGTAGATGGAAACGCACGACAGTTCTCTTAATGTTGTATTAAATTTTTTATTCTCGAAAAAAATTCGGCAATGACCGAGGAGAATATCTGTAATAATTTATTATTCGAGCGCCCGAAGACGGCGTCACGTTCTTACATCATCGGTCAACGTCACATCGCACCAACGTTCCCAAATGTTTTTCATCCTTTCTGTTTGACCTGCTCTCTGTTGCAATGGATGTGTTTTTTATTACTTATGTAACATTCGTATTCGTCTTAAAAGTGATCCATCAAAAATTTCCCGAAGCCGCAGCTTATGAAACAAATCCGCGAATTCGCTCGCGATTTCTCTTCGCGAGCTTCCGGAGATATCCAAAAGGGTTGAAAAGAAAGAAAAATAGTCTCCGATGTGAACGGACCCGCGCATGATTTTTACGTCGAGAGCAACATCCGCCTTCCGCACTGTTCGTACGTGCGCACCACGAATAATGCGGAATGCTTTTTCCCCCGATGCGGACTAACAATCGCGCTGCGCACGATGCGTGTCAAACGCGTATTGTCGTGCGGTGGGCGTATTCACGCTCCCCGGATGATGTACACAACAGTAACGGACAGCTCTCAAATACCGGACTATCGAAAATAATAATTTAAATAGTTTCGTAGGAATCTCAAGTATTAGCCAGTATAATTTGTATTTTCCGTGAAAAAAAATACATAGGAATAGATAAAAAATATGTAGGAAATATTTATTTATTTTGAAACGTGACAATATATCATAATCAATAAATGAAATAATAATTTTGGAAATATAGAATAGAGAAATTTTTATTTGAAATTGAATATACTTGCAGTTCTCGATTTTCTTACATTGATTATTGATTATTATTTTTTCCTTGCGCGTATATTATTTAAAATATTTTTGAAGTAATTTATACAGAATTTTTAAAATAATAATTTAATAAAAAACAAATATTTGTTTCATAATAACCATTTTTTT